ACACACACACACACACACACACACACACACACACACACACACACACACACCCTTCTGCACGTAGCTTCATCCGTCACCTCCAGGACTCCCAAGTTCACATCTCTAGCTCTGAGTACCATCTTGCATTTTAGCTTCCCTGGCATCTCCACTAAAATAAAATTCATCATTCTCTCCTCAACCCCCCATCTAGCCATACATGGAGACTTTCCTAGTTCTGTAAATATTACTTTTATTATCCCAGGCACATAGGAATGAAATTTCAGAACAATCTTTGACTTTCCAAATCCAATTGCTTAGGCCTAACTGAACTAAAAAATGTTTTGCTAAACTCTGTCTCGTAGTGTATCCATAACATTTTATTAAGGGAAAATAAGGATGTGTAACAGGTACACTGAAAGTTGGGTTTGTATTGGAGTTGGGAAGTGAAGACTCTGGTCCCCTCTCTGCCACTAGCACCCAAGAGTGACCTAGCTATTGGAACTCTGAACTGTTCTGGTGCTTACGGCCCAAACACTTTAGGCCACCAATGAACAAGCACTGAGTCATTTCAAAGAGAAGACAAAGACTATAAACATTAAAAAAAAAAAAAAAAAAAAAAGAAAAAAAAAGCCTAAAAAGTTTGCCGCCTGTGGGGAAAAGGCAGTTTAGGTGAAACCCTACTCTTTGGGGTTTTGGTTATATGCTGACAAATTCTTGAATATATTACTTTGTCATTTTCTATACTTTAAAAGGTCAAGGAAATCTGAAAAACTTCTTACCATCACTGCCTCGAGATGATATCGATTTCACATCAATGGACTCTTTCCTCCTGTTCTTGTATCTGAATGAATGAGACTCTAAGGGTTTCAGATGAGTAATGGAGAATTCACAGGTGAAATGTGGGCACATTTTCCCCCTCATCCTCCAAAGAAGATAAGTTTACTTTATAAGCACTATAAAATATTTTTTAAGATATAGTAAAGCACTTTCTCTTCAAATCATCACCACACATAGAATTTTCAGTCGTATTAGTTATAAAATGATGCCCTTTCTTGTGGTACATTACATCACAGAAATGGGGCTTAATATTATTCAAGGGTTATTTAGTTCCATTAATAACATATCTTTTTGAAAATAAACTTGGGAAATTTGGGGGGTGGGGCGCTCATTTTGACCCAAAGGACAATACATTTAACTGGATGGGGAAGGCCCTTAAGGGGATATTTGAGGAAATAAAATACTAGTGAAATCCACAGAGTTGAATTTACTTGAGAAACTAATCTGGACCAATTTTAGGCCTCTCTGGGAAGTCAGACCTCAGATGGTCTAGGTTCTCCTGAGGATGTGATTTCATCAAATGATGCATACTGCCAATCCCAGGAAGGAAGAGAAGGCAATTTTATAATCGAACAATTTCCAACAATTAAACTCGACTTTTGTCCCCATTTTCTGAGGGGAAAAATCACTTAAAAATTCTACATAAATCTTTGCAGACTTTGAATTTAACACTCAAAATGTGCTTTGACAGTGCAAGATCTAAGCAAACAGTGCATGCTACCGGTGAGGACCAAGAAATAAAATCGTCAAGGCAGCAGAGCTGTCTTCAGAAACATGCATTTCAAGGCATTGCTTCTTGTGTAAGTAACGCATGAGCAAGGAGAGAAACATAACCATAACAGAGAATTGCTCTTTACTATGCTAAGACAGAAGGCGGATATGCAGGTTCCAGCAGGGAGAATGCATTTCTTAGACACAAAGAAATGATCATGTTTCAAGAAAGAAAAAAAGATGCAACAATGCTTGTTTAAGAACTGTCTAGTGACACCAAGAAAGGTATAGGGAGTGTAATAGTTAAAAGGACCAACTCCAGAGCCAAAGTGCCAAAATTCACATCTCCACTAAGCCATCTAGTAGCTATGTAATCTTGAGAATGTTACTTCCCTGTGTCTCGGTATCCACACGTGTAAAGTGGGTATAGTTACAGCATCTCATTCATAGGCTGTTGCGACATATAAACGAGTTAATCCACGAATAGCACTCAGAACAGTGCCTGCTACGTAGTAAGTAATGTAGTTCATGTTGGCTATTATTACTATCTGCTCATTTGTATATGTACCTTCTTAGGCACACATGGAATCACATTATAATATTGTTCTACTGCTTGCTGTTTTCATAATATGTCTTAGATACTTATCTAGATCACCTTTCTAACCATCGAGTGTCCTAAAAAATCTGATTCAATTAAAAAATGGGTTAAATAAGTAACTAAACCTGAATTATATTTATACAGCATGAAGTGAAAGGCAGAATTTTTAAAAAGTTAATCTGAACACCATAGCCATGATCTATCCCTTTGCCTAATTTTGTCTTCCAGACTGCCTTAATAATTTTCCTGGTCTTAGATAGGAGTTTAAATATTTCGTTATAAAGACAAGTATACATAGTGAGTGGTACTTTAAATTATATTGTTAGGATAATATGGCATTTTTCAAATCCTCAGAAACTAATAGTATTCACTCGCAAAACATTCAGTTTTAGCCTATTCATGGACTTAATAATCATATATGTTCCTAGCATTAGTTTACCAGATAATAAATTAAATCTAACTTATTAAAGATTTAAGATTAAATTCAAGATTAAAGAACAGAAGAATTCCTCAAAATGTAGTTTCTAAATAAAACTAAAGTGGTAGGTTAGTTTCACAGCTGTGAGCCCAGGTTGACTGGCTGAATCCTAAATCATTCATTAGAAATTGTTCAAGACGAATAATGCTTATTCTTCTGGAAATTATCTCAGCCAAAATTAAGAGAAACTATAGCAATAACAATGATTAAAAGTTTGGAAAAATTCTTCAATAAAGGCCATTTAAATCAAAGAATTTGTTATTCATTCTCTCAACAAATGCTTGTAGAATGAATTTAAAAACCAGAGAAAAGGATAAAGGAGTTTTAGATAGCTGTACTCAATGGCAAAAAGGGATACAGTAGCACCAGTTTAAAAAAATAGCTACCACTTACTGAGCACCTACTATGCACCAGACACTGTGTTTTTAATGTTTACTTTATAGTAGTTATATCATCATTAAAACAATTCTGAAAGCTACATATTATAAACCTCATTTTACCAATGAGGAAATTTAAAGTTGGAGAGATTATGTAGGTAGCTCAAGGTAAAAGAGCTAAAAATGGCAGAACCATGTTTTCTAAGATGGGATGGTTTTAACTTATCAATGTTCTGTAAGTATTTGAGTGTCTACTAAGTGCAAAACAATGCCAGGCACTGTAAAGAATATGAAAATGTTGTTAACAGTATTTGGCACCCAGAAGCCCTTAAAGTTAATACTCTTGCTTAAAGAGTTAGAAGAAATAAATTAAAACATCTGAGAGAGAGAGAAGGGAGGGGGTTGGGGAGGAGGATACTAAACAGTTAAATACCAGGTACTGCTAGATAGTATGTACATTTTCTCCTTTAATCTGCATAACAATGACGTGGACAATGTTAATTCATTTTACAAATAAAGAAACCGAAGATCAGAAAGATCCAGTGAAATCTGTCTGAGTAGGCTAACATGTGGTCCATCCTGGAATCAAGGAGAGGGACTAAATAGTAGCCCAGGGTCTGACTTTATGCATTAGTGGCTGGGAAGCCACCACAGGGCAGAGGATGTGCTGTGTGTGTAGGAACGAGAATTTTAAATCTCTGGTAGCAGACTGATTTTTTCCTCTAACGACCAGAGAATTCCAGACCTTTCAAATGTAGAAATCATCAGGTCTAGCTCTCTCATTTTAGGGCTGGGGAAACCAAGGGTCAGACAGTCAGAGTCGTGCCCAAAGTAGGAGGCGGGGAGTGGGAAGCTGAAATGGTGACTCAGTGCTCCTGACTCCCAGGCCAGGGCCCATCCTCAGTGACCGACTGACTGCTGCTAAGAAAGGGAAGCTCAACTATGGTACAACAGCAATGTGCCTCCCCTGAACTTTTGGGCCACTCTCTAATTTAGGTTTGTTTGCTCTACATGGTCTCTAGCCAGCAAAAGAAAACCAGGAATAGGGAGGCATTAGGTAGAAAAGGTTGCCATGAATACATATTCAAAACTTTTCAAGGGATTCTGCTTTTATTCTGGCTTTCCATCCTTCTGCTATGAGCACTTAAAGTTTAGTGATCCAAGTTCTGGGGTGGTGACTGTCAATCTAGACTTCTTGAGAGTCATTTATAGACTTGAACCCACGAATGCCGTCTGAATGTAGAAGAGGGAAATTGAAGTATTCTCACCTGTCTGAGAATTGTCTCCTGAATCACGATGAACCTTGTGAATCTAAAGTTGTTCAAAAGTTTGGTAGAAACAAGAGAAATAGATTCAAAATATGGTATGAGTGACATTTCCAGCCAAACAATTTCATTTAAAAAATCTCTGAAAACTTCGAGAAAGCAAGAAGTTGCACAGATAACATAAACAGCTGAAAGATGTACACCAAGTGATAACACTATAAACGCTGTTACGTTCAGACACTAATACAATGGCTGAGCCCGAGAGCAGGATGATCCTACGATACTCAGAGGACGCACTCTCTAAGCAGGACAGCTAAATCTTCAGTCCGCTGTTCTCATTTTGACAGTCTACAGAAATGCAGAGAGACAAAAAGCTACAACAAAATTTAAGATTATATAAGGCTAATATACAACCTGTTTGTATTTCATACATGTTGTAATTTTTGTCTGTAAATAAAAGTAATCTGAATTTAAGCCTAAAATTTCTAAAAACCTTCCTAAAAAGCTCTTCAGATGCTTTATTATGGACAGGGTCAATTTACAAAATGTTTCTTCACAATGAAATCTGAATTTTAGATGCAGCTTAGCACCTAGTTCCTTCTCATTATCAGTTTTCGTGCATGTGTGCTGATGATTTTGTGCAATGCTCAATAAATATGTCAAATGATGGATGAAGTAATTAACACTAGAAATAATAAATATGCTTTCTTTGGGGTTCTAAATTTCCTGTGTTTGTGATTGACTGACACATTTTGGGGGGCTCAGCTAGCTCTATCACACTTATCATCATGCCGCTTTCTTGCTAAATCCACCTACTTCTAGTTGCTCAGCTCATCAAGCATTTGTAGCCACTCAGTGAATAAGTTAACTTGAGAAACATGCCAGGTGAGTGTGTAGGGCTGTCTATGGAGGAAGATTAGGATGGTTTAGCAATATCATCAACTGTGAGAGCCAGAAGTCCCATTTATATATATCACATGCAGGTAAAATGCTCCAGCTTGACTGAACCATTGAAAAATAATCATCTGAAACAGAAGTATTAAAAGAGGTGTTTTCTATGAATTACTCTGCACAGTCTATTCCACATAATTACAAAAACAATTACATGGCCAGCCTATGTGAGATCTTGGTCTTAATGTGATTAAGGGCTGTGACTTATTTACCCCATAACTATGGAACCTTTTCATTTCTCCTGTAAATAACTGCTTTTGTTTTTCCTTTATAAAGTCCATTTGCTACAAAGCTGAGCGCAGTGTGAATTTCTGATACTACACCAAATGAATACAACTCTTGCCTTGCAAACTATCTCAATCAGCTTTCGTTCAAAAGCAAGTAATCTTTAAACACTTGGCTTTTCTCTCTGAATCATAACACAATACATCTCTCCATTAGGAACAAAGTCTCACAGCCTCCCCAGACTACACACAATAAACCCTCTCTTGTAGTTTATTGGCCCCCACAGGCCAGCGACTGAACTGTGGAGCTCCTGGAAGGTCAGCGTGGGCTTTGCGTTCTGTCCAAATGAAACCAGACGAAGCTCAAAGTCCAGCAGATGCACAGCCTAGCCCTGCCCCTTGGGCTGAAAAGGGGGAGTAGAGCAAACAGGGAGTCGGGGAGAGGAGAGGTGCTGGGCCCCCAGATGCACAGCCTAGCCCTGCCCCTTGGGCTGAAAATGTGCCCTGGTCCCAGAGGGGGAGTAGAGCGAACAGGGAGTGGGTGAGAGGAGAGGTGCTGGGCCCCTCTGCTGAGGCGGCTCTGGTATTTCTCCACATGGTGCTGCATTTGGCACATTCTGAGCTGAACGCGCCACACCCACCCCAAGCCCATCATCCCCCATTGGCTCATCCGCCTCTGGTGGGCCCTCTCCTACAGACAGCACAGAGACTAGAAATACTCCTTGACTGACCAACCGACCACCTTTCACTTGCTTCACCAGCCGAAGAGCTATGGGCTGTCTCAGCATCTGCTTTCCAGGACCCTATATCATGACTCACTTCATGATCCTCTGTGACAAGAGCGGCACCTGAGGACCTTTCACCTGTCACACCCCAGCAGGGCTGTTTCTATCAAAGCTTCCTGACTCAGGTTGCCTACGTGCCTCTTCTAAATACCCCGTTTACAGCTAATGACCCGCTAGGAGGAAAAACTTATTTTAGAATTTTCTTCTTGGAGGTCTAAACCCATCAGTCATTTATAACTTGGTGTGAATGATTCCACTAAAATTACTTCCTCATAATTCTCAGTCAAGCTCACTGAGGAAATAAACAGGAATGAGTGGTTCTGTAGTGTGGTGTCTTCTGGTGGGCAGCTTCGGGGAAGTCCATGGCCCTGAGGACTGTAGGGCAGGAAGAGAGAGGGACCAGCTTCTCATGACAACAGCAGCCATCTTTCAGATGTTCGCCACATGCAAGCAGCTTCACATTTGTAACCTGGTCATCACAATGTCCTTGCAAGGGAGGAAGGATCATCATTCCTCTGACAGATGGGGAAACTGAGGTTTCACGAAGTTAAGGGACTTGCCTGAGCCTCGCAGCTAGTACATGGCAGAGCCTGATTTCATACCAAGCTTCCTCTAGCTCTAAAACTATTTCCTCTTTGTCACATTGCTCTCTACAGTGAGGCCTCAGAAGGAAAGTCCTGGGCTCAAGCTTGTTAAACTGGGGTCTGAGGACAATAGCCCCTGGGTCAGTGCAGGCCTTTGTTTGAAATATATCTTTCTTTCAAATTTTGGGGAAGGTATAAATCTCTGCTATTGATAGGTTTTGTTACATGCATGCTAAAGCAAAGAAAAATCATAATTCAATGTCTCCATGTCAGCCAGCTTCTCTGGAGTATAGTGCTTCTGTTGTTTTTCCTTTTGTGAAAGAAAGCTTAAAGTATAGAATATGTCCACATAATGACTGGGAATTTTGATGCTGTGTGCCCCAGAGAGAATCGCAGGCTGTAGCACGAAGTTTCTGTGAAGTGAATGCTACCAGCCTTGTCCTGTGCCACCCTTGCCAGAGCACAAAGCAAGTCCTTGGAAGCCTACAGTTTGTTTTTGGAAAGGAAATTCATAACCTTGAATCTTTAATTACTTAAAATACATAGGTTCCCACAGATGTTGCTGTCCTTGTGCTACGCGCTTTGTTTACAAACACCTGATCAAGTTTGGCTCTAAAAATCACTACAAATTATGTGTGTGTGATGTTTCGGTGTCCTCCGTTTTCTTCTTCGAGAACAATCCTTTAAACATTATATTTTCTCTATACATTCACCAGAATATCTAAAACAAAAAAGAAATTTCATCAAGGATGTGCAGTAGCTAGAGGGAGTCCAAAATTGTGCAACTGCTATGAAAAAAGGCCTGTCAGTTTCTTATAAAATTAAACATAGACCCACCCTATGACTCAGCTCCTCAGTATTCAGTTCCACTCCTGAGTCTTTACCCAAGATAAACAAATATATATTCACAAAAAGACTTGTCTAAGAATGTTCAAAGGAGTCAAAAACTGGAAATAGCCCAGAAGTCCATCAACAAGAGAAATAAACTGTGGAAGAATGATGCAATGGAATACTACTCAGGGATGAAAAGGAAAAAGGAAAAAAATTACTGATCCATACAACAAGGATGCATCTCAAAACATGACGAGTGAAAGAAGCCAAACCTGAAAGAGCGGACACTGTATAAAGCAAAACTTGACAAGGAAAAACTAATCTATGGTCATATAATTCAGAACTGCATCACCTCTGGGGGTGGGAGTGGAGGCAAGAGGAACAGGGAAGGGACACAAGGGAACTTTTGGCGTGGTAAGGTTTAGTGTCTTGTTGGGGTCTGGGTTGCAGAGATATGTGCATTTGTCAAAACTCAAGGAACGCTATACTTAAGATTTGTGCATTTCACTGTATGTAACTTTTACCTAAAAAAAGAACCCCGAAACGAATACTAAGCTCTTAAGACTACGCATGCTAAAGCACCAAAGAGTAAAATGTCCTGATGTTTACAACTTAGTTTGAAATCTATCAAAGAATCAGATGGACTGATGGATAAATCCAGGGATAAGGCAAAATAATTCTTTAACTCTTCTATATGTTTGAAAAATTTCATGTAAAAATGTTGGGAAAATTATATGTTCAACAGAATATGGATCGATGGCTAAAAATTAGAAGTTTGAAATATAATTTGAAAATCTGTGAAAACACACAGATTTGGAATGGAGGAAATTGAGAACAGCCTGAACTCAGCGAGGTGAATGACATGTCACGGTCCCTGGATCTCTGGACCATGAGCCTGGGCATGGAGATGATGTGCCACTTCAGATCATAACTAGGGCACTATAGATAGCAGTAGCAAACTTAGAAGATTTACCTAGGTAACTTTAATATGTTGATTTTAATAATTTTACTGACTTTATGATTTATAGAGTAACAAATAAACCTAAATCCTGATCTCTCCTATGGCAGAAACACTCCAAAAAGTAACTATAATGAACACATCCCTCTTAATATATGTTTTAAATCACTTTTTTAAAAAAATGAAAAATCATGAGACTTTAGCAATTAAAATGAGTCATGGCCAAGATCAGTACAATAATAAGCAAGCAAGCAAATATTAGATACTTTCTTTAACATTCATTTCAGAATCACCTTGTGAATGTGAATGGCATTTGGTAGAAATGTTTGAGTCTGCTTTTGTCATTATTGAATGACAACATCATAAAAGGCATCAGTCACAATTAAAAGCACCAGGTATCCCAGTATGTGAGCCAGGGGGTCATCCTTGAGGCTTTCTTTTCTCTCACTCCCATGTCTAAGTCCATTATCAAATCCTGTAAGATGTCCCTTCTAAATACTTCTGGTTTCACTACTTTTCTCCATTGTCAGATTGCAGGCTACCGCCAGCTCATCTGAACTTGGCAATACTCCAATCCATTCTAAATTCTTCAACCAGTGAAATCTTGCAAAACTGTACATTTAATCCTGTGATTCTCATGCTTAAAATGCATACATCCTACTGTTCCTAGGGTCAAGTCTCATGTGACAGACTATGAGGCTCTGCAGTGTGAC